TCCTGTATAATTCATAAAATTTTCTTCTGGCAACATAAAACTCCTATTGCAGTATCATATTCAAAATAATGAGCCTATATATCTCTGATGGAGTCAATATTAAGACTCAAGCTCCTACTTAATCCCAAGGAACAAGATATTATATCTAGTGCTCAAGGGACTAGATATTAAATTTCAAACAATTTATCTTTAAGATCCAATTTAAGTAAGACATAGCAGACCTAGTTTGAACCACTCTTTCCTTCAGATCTCAAGATCAACATAATATTAAAATAAGTTTAAAAAAACAGGTGGAAAAGTTTCTCTCTCGCTTTTTTTTTTTAATCTTTATTGTTGAGAGTATTACAGAGGTCCCTCCTTTCCCCCCATTATCCTCTCTACCCTGTTTCTACCCTGCCCCAGGCCTTCACCACCCCACTATCGGTGTTCATAGGTAATGCATATATGCATGTAAACACTTAGGTTAACCTCTCCTGCCCCCCTCCCTCCTTCAGCTTTCCAGGCTATTGTGCACATCACTGTGCTAGGAAAGATGGTGCGCTCAGAGTGGGCACGGGAGCTCTGTACTCTTTCCCCCAAAACACCCAGTTGGTGTTGGAGAATTAGAGAATTGTTTGGTGTTGGCAAAGACACACTATTTGGTGTTAGAAAAGCCACACGTGCAGACAACCTCAGTTTCTGTGAGTGGTTCTCTCAGAGCATCTCCTCAATTGCCTGTGAAAGTACCTCCTTCCCATTGTATTCTTGGGGCATGTTTTTGGTGAATTTTGAATGATTTTTGAAGTTTCATCTGCAATTTCAAGGTAATATAGAAAGTCCTAATATCCATCCTTAAATGAACAAATTAATATTTAAATTTCTTATTGTATATATTTGTTTGATTTGAACTTATGAGGACTTTGTGAAGGACTTTTACTTAAGAGAATGTCAAAATACATCCGAGGACCAACTATCTTCTGATTGATACTTGAAATATCAACTCTTAGATAGTCTAATGATTATCTTTGGAATTTTTGGAACTGGCCAAGAATTATAATTAACTCACAATAAAAGACACTGTATACTCTTTAGTTTTTAAAAATAATCACAAAATAAAAATATTTTATCTCTCTTTTTTTAAAGTATATTTTATTGATTTTTTACAGAGAGGAACAGAGAGTTAGAAACATCGATCAGCTGCCTCCTGCACACCCCCCACTGGGGATGTGCCCACAACCAAGGCACATGCCCTTGACTGGAACCGAACCTGGGGCCCTTCAGTCCAAAGGCCAACGCTCTATCCACTGAGCCAAACCAGTCAAAGCTTATCTCTCTTTTAATAGGTACAGGGTTGCATGAATTTGTGTATGGGGGGAGAGGAGAAAGAGAAGATGTAGGAAGGTACACAACATGCAAATATAGTATGGTGACATTTAACAATAGAAACAAAGGAATTACAGTTTTGCCTCTCTTAATCAAGCCAAACATCTATTTCAGATTGAAGATTTAGATTCCAGTTACTCCTCTGGGCAAATGAGTAGATGAGGGTGGACCCTCCTCAAACTATCAAAAAGTATTTACTGACAAAAAGTATTGTGAGTTAATTATGCTACACCTAAGGCATTTTTGCAAGGTACTGGCCATAACAATGCAACTAGTCAACAGAGGCCCACAAAGGAAAGCCTCTTGTAGGTAATTCTCTCCTACCTGTAGTTCTTCAGCAAAATAGTTAGCTAGATATAAACACTTTACATAAATGGTCCAGTAGCTTTTCAAGTCCTCCTTACCAGATGGGCTGCAGTTCACTAGGGAATCTGGGAACTTAAAAAAATAAAATGCTCACTGTGGTTGATGACACGGAAGAGAAAGTGAGAACAGATTGTAAACTCTATATTTATTCTTTGGGAGATTCTTAAAACAACACAAATAGAGATAACTTATCAGGGGGCATAGTGTAAGGTTCATTAAAATATGCAGAACAATTTTAAAATTTGCAAAGTTCAAGTGAAACACATTATATTAAATAATGAAGAATAAGATGAGCATGAATTTGTTCTCCAAATCTTAGAATACTAGGAACCAGGAGTTTAAATCTTAACCCTTGAAAGGAGGTTCAGGAACAGGAAAAGATGGACACATTATACACAGTGGCAAGGGCTCTGGGCTGGGGGAAATGACCTGCATCTTGGTTCTAGCTCTTCCCCCAGGAGAGTATGCAACCTCTGAAAAGTGGCCGCACGCAGTTTATCTGTAAAAGGAGGTTGGAATTCTAGCTCTCATAGTCTATGACAGTGGTCGGCAAACTCATTAGTCAACAGAGCCAAATATCAACAGTACAACGATTGAAATTTCTTTTGAGAGCCAAATTTTTTAAACTTAAACTATATAGGTAGGTACATTGTTATTAACTTAATTAGGGTACTCCCAAGGCTTAGGAAGAGCCACACTCAAGGGGCCAAAGAGCCGCATGTGGCTCGTGAGCCGCAGTTTGCAGACCACGGGTCTATGATAACTACAGAATTGCTTCTAGAAACTAAGTAGGTAGGATTTGAGAAATGAGGAAATGTAGGAAAAACGACACCACCAATATTTTGATATATCTTTTTTCTATACTCAATAAGAATGGCTTCTATTTATTACCTTTATGGAAGACCAGCACAATTAGAAGAACTAGTAATCTAGCAGTCAGTTTTACTGCTAAAGTATTAGGTCTTAAAAGAGAAACAAAATAGCAAGACTGCTTCTAGGGTTAAACTTTCCTAAGATCAAACATGAGATGAACAAAGTACTGATCTACACTAGCCAAGAAATATCATACGAGAATGCTTTCAGCTCAGTATTCCCTCCCATCCACCCCTACTCTCCTGACACTGGAGCACCATAGAAACATTCAGATAGAATTCCCACAGGTAAAGGATCTTTTCCAGTGGCTCTGCCAGGAGACAGTCTGCAGCCACCTGGGGGAACTTTTTAGAAATCTGAAGATAATGTAAGTTTATATAAAATGGGTGTTTATAAGCAACAAGCTATTTCCTCTTGCCACTAACGTGGAGATACTTCCATATTCGTATATATTTATGTAAGAAGCACAGAATCTTTTCTTAGGACAATGAATTTTTTGGGCAGGTTTTGAATTATGTATTTTCCTTTTTAGTCATTACATTGTCTTCCTCTTTTTTCAGCCTTCATATAGATACTACCAGCCGTGGGCAAACTACGGCCCACATTTGAAATGAATAAAACTAAAAAAAAAAAAAAAGACCGTACCCTTTTATGTAATGATGTTTACTTTGAATTTATATTAGTTCACACAAACACTCCATCCATGCTTTTGTTCCGGCCCTCCGGTCCAGGTTAAGAACCCATTGTGGCCCTCGAGTCAAAAAGTTTGCCCACCCCTGTTACTAACCTGATCCGGGTTACTCCTAAGAGAGATATGTGGTCTGTATCTCCATCCCGATAACATTTATAAAATGACTATACTTTAAAAACTGCAGCACTAAGTTCCCGAGGACCCATAAAAGGCAACTGGGTTTCATTTGCTACAATTAAAAGCATCAGCCTAACTGGTGTGGCTCAATGGCTGAGCGAGGACCCATGAATCAGAATGTCACTGTTCGATTCCTGCCAGGTTTTCCGGCTCAGTCCCATGTGGTGGGCGTGCAGGAGGCAGCTGATAGATGATTCTCTTTCATCACTGATGTTTCTATCCCTCTTTTTCTCCCTTCCTCTCTCTGAAATCAATAAAAACATTTTTTAAAAAAAAAAGTGTCATATTTTGCACTTGAAATCTGGCAGAACACTTTGATGGTAATATACAAACACAATGAATAAATGGATTAATGACTAGCTAGCTACATAATAAATACTTTTGAAAGATTTTTGTGTCATAAGTAGTAGGAAAATCAAACAAGTAATCCAAAACAGGTAACATTAAATTTTCAGAGAGTAACAGATTATTTTATCTGTAGCATCCCTGGACGGGCATCCGTGTACTATATAAAGCCCAAATGAACCAAGGGTGTCAAAGTGCCACCTCACTACCAGGACCTAGTGGGAAGAAGTCTCCTTTCCAGAGGCTGAGTAGACTTGATCAACATCACCCGCAGCCGTAAGTCCACCTTATAAAATCACCACACCAAGTTCCCACTGAATATCTTTATCTTACTTAGACAGAGACAATCCAGTCACTCAAAGAAAGGGAAATCAATCACTTTTCCAAAAACGTGGCCGAACAAAGTGTGCTGTGACTCCGCTAAACTCAGACGTTTGACTCCGCGCAGCAGTTTTCTCTCCTAAGCCCTCGGGCTCCCCATCCTCTCGGGATGGCCACTCCCGCTTCCATCTCTGGCCTCCGAGGCCCCGTCGGCAACTAATCTGACAGCTTTCCATCCTTTGGAAGCCTCGGGCTCCACCACACCCTGCTCTCTCACGGGCCCTGGCGGAATTTTATTGAAACACAAGCACATGTCCCAGAGCTGACAAACCAACATTTGGGGCCTAAATAATCCAGCTCCCCTCAACTCTCAGAAACTGAAGTATCCTCGCAAATCTTGGATCCCCATGAACCCGCCCCTTTGGCTGGAGCGTCCGGCTCTGGCGCCGACCCTTCAGCTCCCATGGTCCCAACTAGCTCGGGTGCCCGTGGCCCTTTGCCTGTTCTTCGCTTCGGGTTCCCGGCGCAGCTCACACCCCACCTGCCTCCCCGTCTGGAGAATCCGTGGAGGTTGGGAAGAGCCCCCCCTACCCCCGTCCCCCCAAAGCCTCCGGGACCTGGAATTGAATGGCCCAGCGTCCCCCTCGCTCTCACTCCAGCGTGGTCCACGCCCCAAGTTCCCCGCCTTTGCCCAGGCTCCCTGGCCACCTCGCCCCGCTCCGCGCATCCGCGTCCCGCGCGGAGCCCAGGAGCCCCCAGCACCGCAGCCCCTGCTTCCGGGCGTTCCCCGCGGTTCTGCTTCCGGCCCTCGGCGGCCCCCGGCCCGCGCCCCCGGCCCCAGCGCCGCCCGCTCGCCGGCTCTCACCGCTCAAAGAGCAACCGCACGGAGAATACGCCTGCCGCCAACGGGAACACCGAGAGGATGTGCCGGGCCTGCGGGTAGCCGTAGCCGTCGCCCGGCCCCTCGAGGTCGGCCCAGCTCACGTTCTGGGGCATCCAGAAGCGCTCGCTCCACAGCCAGCCCCACAGCAGGCCCAGGGCGCCCGCCGCCGCTGTCGCCATCTTACGCCCGCCCCGCGGCCGCCACAGCCTCAGCCGCCGCCACAGCCAACGGAACCCGCGGGGAGGCGGCCCCGGGGCGGGGCCGGGCCGGTGGCCGCCCCCTTCCGGCCCCTTCTCGTTTCCCGCACGTCTCAGGCCTGGTCACAACCCTTCCCGTGCCTCCTCCGCGAAGCCGAGCCTCCTCGGCGAAGCCCGGCCTCTCCGACGCCCCTCTCGCCTCCCCGCCCACCTCGCTTACCGCGGACTCCGCGGACTTCGTGGTGGACCCCGCCCCCCAGGTTGGCCACACCCCTTCCCGAGCCCCGCCCCCGCCTCGGAGCAACGCCCCTCACCCGGCCCTGGCCCCACCCCCACTGGCCTCACAACGCTGGTTGCTGTCAGTTTCGGCCACGCTTCTTCGGGTCTAGCGCCCTAACAGGGACATTCCTTTTTCTCAGCCCAGGCAACTCAAAGCTGTTCCCGTTCCCGCTCCCAGGCAGGCTGTACTCATCTCTCTACTCCCCCCTCATCTCAGCTGGACCCGCCTACTCTCCACCGCCAGTGGCTAACTAGAATGGTTTTAAAATAAGTTAAAAATCTAAATCTCTACCTCTTATCTAAGGACAAATAAAGTAACTATAACTAGTAAGGCAGCAGTTAAAGGGTTTCAAAGAGAGAAAAGGAAAAAACAAAACTCCAGCCATTCTAAGGAGTACATTAGGTTTGCTTTAACTCAGTGGTTCTCAATCTTCAGTGCGCCCCCGCTCAGCCATTAGCTTGTTCCATCCCCTACATGGAGAGTTCATTAAAAGTTTCCTGAGCCCCATCCACAGAGATTGATTCAGGAGGTTCAGGGTAGGGCCCATGAATTTGCCTTTCTAATTTCTAAAAAACTCATAGGTGATGCCTTTGCTGCTGGTCTGAGAACCACTGCCTGAAACCATTTTTCTCCAAACGCAACAATAGCTTAATGGTAACTACCCTATCTGTATTCAAGATACATTTTAAAAGAAGTAAATCCTCCATGATCCCATGGTAATTCAAGTCAGAGCCCCAAGGAACAGAGAACGTGCTAACTTGGCATGCAGGAACAAACACACAATGATCTTGGTCTCAAGAGCTATCCCCAGCCCTAGCTGGTGTGGCTCAGTTGATTGAGCGTAGTCCCATGCCCTAAAGAGTTGCAGGTTCAACTCCCAGTCAGGGCACATGCCCAGGTTGCAGGTTTGATCCCCAGTGGTGGTGCGTGCAGCAGGCAACCAATTAATGTTTCTCACATCAGTATGTGTCTCTCCCTCTCCCTCTCTTAAAAAACAAATATATAGGGTGTACCAAAATTCACGTAAGATTTGAATTTTGCGTGAGCATTAACAACAACAACAACAAAAAATAAAAGCCTAATTTTACTTGGTTTATTGAATCAGATTCTAATATCTGTTGCCCTTTGATTTCAATCCCTTCAATTTGATAAGCATTACCAAGTACCAATTATGGCCCAGGAGCAGGGACAATGAAGGCCAATGAAGACCAATGAAAACCACGGCTTTGCGTATGTGCCAGCAAAGCCGTGGAGGCCATTTACCCGATGTGCTATTCCATACATAATCCTATTCTGTATACTTTATGAATCAATATTTAAAATTTTTAATTATAAACCCGTGTTTTCTATTAAAATTACTTCTTGCATGAATTTTGGGACACCCTAAATATATACCAGGTATATATATGCTCTATCCCCAAATGGTACAAAACACATTTGTTCCATTTCTCAACCTCTTGGCTGTTACAAAACATATTGCTCATGAAACATGTAATGAAAGCTTTGGCCAGAGTGATCCCACCAGCAAGATGGTGTTGAAGAGTCTCCTTTTCCCAGTTCACCAAATAAGAAACATCATCCTATTGCCACCATCAGCATATCAAGTCCAAACAAGTTGCCTTCATTCAGGAGAGCTGAGAGAATAAACAATAAACACTTTTTATTTGGCTGTCATTTTTGTTTTTCTAAGAATGTTGATTGTTTTTCTAAGAATGTTTATCTGGTCATTCTCTTAAATGACACTTTTATTATATTGATTATGGAGCTAGTCCTCGTTTCTACTCTTTTACCTATAATATGTCTACCTTACCCCTTGAAAGGCATAGAAGAGAGTTCTAAGTGTACTCTCAGTCCCCATGTTCCTGATATATGGTAACATACTCAACTGATAACCATAAATGCCAGCCATAGGCACTCAGACTTTATTGTATAAAGTCAGTAGATATTGTATCATGTAGATAAGTTAGAGTAGCAGTGTGTCACAGTAAGGGTAGCTAAACTGAAGCCAGGATTGGATATTTTATGAAGGTCAGCAGGAGCTTCTGGATAACTGTTCAGTGAACAAGGCTTTCTAACCGACTTTAACTTATGGTGGAGCAAGAGCAAAAAGTAGTTAGAAAACCAGGCAAAACCCTGAAACGCACAGTACACCTGAAAAACATAACAGATGACTCAAAAAGCATGCCTGTCTCCAAGAAAATCCATGCTTCCCATGGTACAAAACACATTTGTTCCATTTCTCAACCTCTTGGCTGTTACAAAACATATTGCTCATGAAACATGTAAAAAAAAAAAAGTGCCTTAACAATTGGGTTGATTGCCTGTGCAGGCAAGGAAATCAAACAACCAACTATACCTTTGCTCAGAGTGGAAAACAAGTCCATTTTCAGCAGAGGCATTTGGAAATTCCATTTGGCAATTTAGGCCTAATTTTAAGGTAAATTATTAAATGTTGAGTACAATTAACAATAAAAACCCACCATTGTATTCTGAATTGGTAAAACAAATGGCGCATTTTGAATGTACACATTAATTCTCTTGCCAAGTGGCTTTCAATTTTCAAGAAAAATTTGTCTTCCTTCAAGATGAAAGCCCCTAAAATCATACCAACATCACCACCTAGTGGTGAGGTATATTAATAGCACTTCACTTAAACCCACATCAGATCTTTTTCTTTCCAAACTAAGGTAAAAGTAGGTCCTGAGAGACTGTAACAACGTAAAAAAAATAATAATGAAAAAGGAACATTGAAAAGGTCAAATGTAAATTTAAAGCTTTATTGAATAAAAATGTTTCAGACTAAGCAAGACTGTAAGAAAGCAGAACATTTTACATTTCTAAAAAATATTAGAGCTAAATTTCTAAAAATGTAGTACAAAGAAAAGCCTATAGCTTAACAACTCCCTTCACCACATATAATTTGGAATATCAATTATGTACAACAAATGTACTCAAGTTTATAATGTTTCAACGACTTAACATACCTCCCCCCCCTCCCCCCCACCCCCCCCTCACCACACACACACAAAGGCCTATAATTGGTTTAATTGCACCCTGGGGATACTGTCTGCCATAAAAATCAATACATTTCAGAGCTGATAGGAATTAAGAAATTAGTGTCCCAGAAAGGGAATATCTGAAGCGAAATATATGGTTTGGGGGTCTGAGTTCAAGTGGATTAAAGCGGTTCACTCCCCCCACCCCCCCACCCCACCCACGTTATTCCTTCTTTAAACTCACTTTGCTGTAACATGAAACATGTCAAACAGTAATATAAAAATCTTAATAAAATACTGTATCTTTTAGCAAATTATGAGAACCACAGCTACCACCAGAGAAGCAATCAATCACTTGGGGTATAGTCACACTTATTGGCAAATACTATAGTTTACTTGGAAGACAGTGGATCTCTCCAAGCACCAAAGGTGCTTAAAAGGTGTTTCAGAAAGATGGTTGTGTTATATCTCAAGAATCCAGGTTAGGGTGTGGTTTCAAGAGCAGGATGCAAAGCAAATCCCCCATATATATCTGAGTAAGATAGTTAACCTAAAATTTTAAAAAAAGACTAAATATTTGATTTCTTAAGAGTTGAATACTAAATTATTAAATTGGTATTCATTTAAAAATATACAAACTGTGCCCTTTATACTAAAGTGCATACAGTAATATTGTTTAGGCCCCTAAATCCCTCTGAATGATTCAATTTTTAGAGTAACAATGTACTATACTAATCATCTATATATTTCATATTGCCTTTGGGGAACACAGTGGAGTCTGGACTATATCAGTTGGAATATTCCCCTCCATTTTTATAAGACCTTAACGCACTTATGTATATCATCATGGCTAAAATAGAGGATTTAGGTAATGTTATCTCTAGCATTTAGAGATAAGCTGCAGTATGGGATTTTTTTTTTTTTTTGAAGCAAGAACTGTTTCCCAAAATTACTTCCCCATAAATTACAGTTTATGCTAAGATAACTGTATACATACATCACTCTGATAAAGGGCAGTGGCTCACTAACACTAGCACAAGGTAAGGTCCAGCACCACTGCAGTTTATCATTCCTCATCCTCATCCTCATCCTCATCCTCATCCTCATCCTCATCATAGTACCGATTTCTCTTTATCTGCTCCTCTACAGACAGCTCTTTGACTACATCTCCCTCCCAGAATCCCACATCCTGGGACTTCTGATTCTGAGTAGTGAATTCTTTAGGAGAGGTATTATCTGCAAAGCTGGACCAATTTGGAGACTTGGGTTCTAGTGGAGACTGCTGATTGGAAAGGTTTCTATCATCTTCATCTAAGTTTGCACCATTTTCTACAAGATTCTCACTCCCCATCTCAAAACCATAAACTTCCTTACTTCTCCTCCCTGCCTCCCCTCCTTTAGATTCCTGGTTTTGCCAGGTTGTTTTTCCCACACTCCCATTCTTCTCAGAGGCATTGGCATTTTCCACTTGTTTCCTCCCTGCTGCTGTTCCTCCTACAAACTCCTCACTCTGCTCTGACATGCTCCAGCCCTTCCTGAGAGGTGGGGACAAGGATTTGGGGCTCTTGACGGAAGGGGTTCGAAATGAAGCTGCTACAGTGAATGGGCGGCTTCTTTCCTTCAGCGAAGAAGATCGTCTCAACTTCTTCAGATCCAGATCTACATCCTCCAGCGCTTCAGGCTTGCTGATTTCATCCTCAGGAGGCCATTTGGGCTTGGATACTTTTATTCCTTCCTCCAATGTACTTCCTGAACTGCCAAGTTCAGTGGGGGGTGGCCAGGCGATCCTTAACTTCTTGGTTTCAGCTGGCCTGTCTTCTTTCTCTGGCTGAAAGGAGGCCTTGGCTTCCATGCTTGCGGTCAGCACACCCACCTTAGCAATGGGGGCATCTTCTACCCCTGAGCTCTGAGG